AAAAAAACTGCATTCCCAACAAGTGTTCTCAAGGTGGGCTATATTGGAGAGGCAGGTATCGATACAGGAGCACTTAGGAAAGAGTTTCTAACAGGTAATTCATACATTATATTGTAACGGTCTATATGTATAGCAGTTGTTAACCCCAAAATGATTGAGAGATTTTGTGCTCAAAGATATGATTTCAGGTATTGAACAAAGATTCTTTGAAGGACCTGAAAGGCAGGGTAAAAATCCAAAGTTTTCACTCACGGACCTTGATAGTGAAACCTTCAGGTAGGTCACATGTAGTCACATTTACTGTTATTTGTACTGTCTGCTTTTCTTCAATATGATACGTTATATTTGTTTTTTACAGAACTGTTGGAGAAATCATTGCTGTTAGCCTTGCCCAAGGTGGCCCAGCTCCAGCGTTTTTTAAAGACTGGTGCTACAACTTTTTCTGCAGTGGAGAAGTGGACTTTGGATCTCTGACTAAAGAGGATGTAACAGATTTGGAATCTGCCCTGCTAATCACCAGGGTAAGATTATTAAAGTGAGCCATACTGTTCAACTTAAAAGTATTCAACCCACAGATTTGCGGTGGATGCAGAGTCTCTAATGTTGTTGGCGGAGGACATAGTAAACTGTGGATACACCACCCAGATCAAAATGGATTACAAAGCACAGATGATTTGGTAAGAAAAGTATTATATTCTGTTGGGAAAGCTTTACAATTTCAGTTAATTTATATATATTTTTTCCCCTCCCACAGTGCTATTATTTTGCATTCCACCACAAGACTAATTCCAATGCTGCAACAACTCAGGAAGGGCCTGGAACTCTGTGGTCTGGTTAACCAGATGAATGTAAATGCTGAGGCTTGTCGACCCCTGTTTGTTCCAGGGAAAATCACCAAAGTAACTTTTATTTTAAATAACTTGCTTTGCTCTTCCCAACTATATCTGTGGTGCATTTTGTATTGTGTGTTTTGTCTAGGTTTCATCTCTCACATAACTTTTGCAAATATTAATTTTATCATTAGCCAGATGCTGACTTCATCATGATGAATTGCCAGCCACAATACAGTGAAAAGGGGACATCCAAAGAAAGAGCTGAGAAGAAGATTATAAACTTCCTGCAGGATTTCTTGGAGGAGCTTGAGATATCAGGTACCATACTTGATAATAAAAGCATAAAGTATTTATAAACAGTGTTTCCCGCAGGAATTTGCTTAGGCCAGGCGGTGAGTTGTTGGCCGGAACAAGTTTTGCGCTGATGACTGCGGGGGGTCGAATTGAATACATAAAACTAAATCCTATCTTAATTTGTCAGAGCACACGAGGCAGATATTAATTTTCTATTCTCAGTTTTAATTAACTAATTACCTTTCCACATATAGTTCACCGATGATGATGACGACAAAGAGGTTTTTTTTCCCTACACACGTCTCCTCGGATGATCAAAGAAAATTACTCCTCTGCCATGGCGTAATCATATAACCAACCAGAGGGTGTCGCAATTAAGTGTTATCAGCTGTAGTTATCAATGCTGTTTTAATGTCTGGGCCTGGCAATGAATTAAAACTTGGTTTTTGTATTTTTGTTTTTTTTGGGGTTTTTTTGGAACGTTGGCGAGGCGGTAGCATGACTTTGGCAAGGCAGCCGCCTCGCCAAGATAGTGCTGCGGGAAACACTGATAAAATTATTTGCTGTTATTGTGAGTTAAATACATATAATTTATTATTTTTTTTTAGATATATGCATTGAATTGCTTTCAATAAATTATTTTCAAAATGCATTTTGTTCATAGATAGGGAGACGTCAGGTGAAGGGTCAGCATGTTCTTCAGTGGATGACAGGGCAAGCCCACACTCCAATTCTTCCAAGTGAAAAGCAACATTTTAGGATAAAATTCAGTTTTTACCATGAGTGCAGTGAGCTTTTAGGGGATCACTCCATTTGCTATCCAGTAGTGAGTGCATGTACGTGTACTGTCACATTTCCAGTACAGCATTTGACAACTTACTCTGAGTTTAAAAGGATCATGACAGAAGCTGTTC